AGCGCGCTCCATCCTTCCTCAACTTGTGGTAACTGACATATCCAAGTGGGAAGCGACTGTTTGAACTCTCTACGTATTATCCCCGTTCGGGGTGCAAATACAAGTCCTGCGCAATAAACTTGAAGGGGGGCCTGATCAACTATCTGGCGATTTTTCAGAATAAAGCGCTTTGCATCGTGAACGAAATCAGAAATCAGAGAAAAGTCGTTACCCTAAATCTGTCAATGCATATCATCTATGATTATCTTCGGAACTTACCGATATGGCCGTTTGGAGCAGATCAAGAATACCTGATACTGCTGACGTAAGGCGCAGTAGGCTCATTGCTTCCACCCAGTGCAAAAAGTGCACCTGGAGAAATCGATAAACATTGTGCATCATGCTAGGCAAGTCCGTGCATTGTACCAGATGATGCACCCAGTATCGACAGGCGTATTTTAGTTCGGGAGGTATATAATGCTGAATCGAATCATTGCCAATGTCATTCCATTGTACGCCTTCGCTTGGCAGTTTGCAGATGTTTTTCTCTAGGCTGTCCTGCATGATCTGACGGCATCGTTCTGCAAGACGCTGGTTTGCGTACTTTCCATTGATCCAGAATTTGCTTTCGTCTTCGCGGTGATCCAAGAGAAAATCTCGGAATGACAGATGGAGGATCCTGACTGGTGTGTCGAAATTGTTTGGTACACCGAGCACCGAGTGGAGCTGGTCTAATCGACATTTGACATCATCTGACTCTCTGTCTATTAGGTGGCTAAGGGAGTTGATCGAGAGCGGAGTGGCAAGAATAATGATCACCCCGACTATCTCCTTGAACTCTTCGAGTAATTTCCGTGACTCTGTTTCATTTTGGCCAGTGAGAAGTTGCTTCAGCACGGGAACATAGGTGCTTTCCATCTTAGACACATAGGTTGATTGGTCTGTCAATATCGCCTCGAGTCGCTTTTGAGGGTTCCATTTTACATCACTGATAAAACGACATATGGTAGCAGCTGCAATGAACAGAGGGACCGCCCTATCAACCAATATCTTGGTAGCTGCGGCTCCCGGCCAGTCTGGTGGAAATGAGCGCCTCTGTTTTAGGCGTAGGAACTGATCCTCAAAATACAAGGATATGTCATGCTCTATCACTGGCTTTTCGATCTCATGGAGGACCAAATCCTGGTGGGCATCGGTGATTCCTTCGAAACCCAGCCTGAACGGCAACTCAGGTCTGCTTGTCAAAAAAAACCGTAGTTGCACAGAAGTTGACTTTCGAACTTGTGGCAAGAGCCGGAGAAGAATCCCTATATCATCTTCTGAATCGCATTCATCTAGAGCATCAATCACGATCACTCTTCTTGTGGTCTCTTCGCGCTGCTCAATATCAAACAGTGGATCCAGTAGAAGCTTTTCAAATTGTTCTCTCAACACCTTTTCCGAAATATTAGGGTCATCGTCAATTGCCTTTTGAACTCGAGGCAGCATTTGAGGTACTCTGTTGACCATTTGCTCGGTCAATGTTGGGAAAAGCTTTTTTGCTGTCCCTCTGTCCTCTTCACCTCTCCGAAAGAAGAAGCTGGCCCCGAGAAGCTGCTGCTCCTGAAGACGGCTTGCAACTGTTTGGGAGATTGTTGATTTCCCTGTCCCTGCCATGCCGTTCAACCAAAATATGCATTTTCCGTGTGGCGATTTTGCCCACTCTTCGATTTCTCGAAGCAGGTCAATCCGGGTCCCCGGGAGACATTCACTGTGTTGATTGTCGTAGGAGTCGAACGCTGCTTGTTTTGCGGTCTGTAGTCTGCTGAGGTCTATCTTTTTGTGGATCCAATTGGTCGATCTCCTGAGTCAGCGTCAGAGTTGGCCCTTCATATGAATAATTAAGAGATCGGATTTCGGTCCGGAGCCTACATTTGATCAACCTGCAAGGACAAAGCAAATGTTGTTTTGTACGACTCAAGCTCCATGATAGCAAAATCTACCTCCGACCGTGCCAATGGCCATTTTAAGGCTCGAAGGCCCCATTTCCTCATCTGTTTCTGCGTCGTTTCCGGGTTGATTCTCTCTTTCAAATTTGTAAGTGCCGAGGAGCATTTGGCAATATTGTCGACCAGGTCTTGCGAAGCAGTAAGTTTGTTGCCATCAGATCCACGGATCAGCTCATCGAGAGAGTGAAGGACTTGTGAAAGGGCGGCGATCTTCTCTTGGAAACGCTGAATATCCTGCTTCGCACTCTTGACGTT